AAAGGTTTCAGCAAGCAAGCTCAGTGCGACCTCCTCCGGCCGTCCCTGCTCGTCTACTCCGGATGACATGTTATTGTTGACATGTTACCTGTAATCTGATTTTCTCGTGCCTCCCTGGGTCCTACCTCTCCACAATCACTCCCACTCTCGCAACTCGATTCTCACCCATCGCTAATCGACACCTGCAGCTAGTCGGGTGAGCCGAGCCGAGTTTTTGCAAGTGCTTTCGAAATCAGCTGGGAAGCGCTGCAGCCGGGGAGTTCGAAATTCGGTTTGCTGTACAGTTGACGCCTTGGGTTTGTTAATGGGTTGGCCGTTTGATGCGGAATGAGATGAGCTGCTGCTGGTTTGCTGGGCTGGGAGCACTGTAGATCGGTGCGGCCTGGGTTGCATGCGGTGGTTCCTGGTCTGCTGCTGCTTGGGCCTGCTCTTGCTCGTCTCTCCGTCGTCATCATCGTCGTCCGGAAGCGATCGTCGTACGCCGGTGCAGGTGGGTGATTGTTTTCAGTGAATGCGTTGAATGTGTTCTGCATGTCTCTCTGTTCCTTCTCCCACGAAGGAATGGTTTTTTTTGCGAAATTCGCTGGCGACGACACAGTTGTTTCATCGAATGAGGGCTTTTTTGCTGTGCATCAGCAGCTGAGCTGCCTCGATGCTACGAGGCAGCCATTGTCAGAAGTTTTTGGGGTTTTTTCGTATCTGAAGTTTTGCTGATAATGACTGGGGGAATGGCACTGTTCTGGGGTAGCCCTGTTCTCGTGCAGTAGGTCAAAGGTTCAACTCTCCCGGTGGGATAACCATTCCCTGTACGATTCGTTTCGATGGTAAATTGGTATTGGCATATGCCGGGGAGTCAGACCCGCCATCAACTTTTTTGTGAAAGCAATCCCAAGAAAAGAAGAAATTCCATTAATTTTAGCGCAATGAATCGATACTGGATGAGAGTTCCAGTAGCGAAAGTGGAGAAGAGCCGGACGAGGATACAAGAAACTTCTGCCAGTCCGATTCACAAAGGTATTTTGTTGAATTTGGGTATTTTGCCTGATAGAAGCAACAGCTTGTCGTTTGCTTTCTTCTTGCAGCGCGCTGATTAAAGTTGCTTTGTGCTACGGCAGTTTGGTCGGAAGGCCCCCCACTTTGTCGTAGTAGAATATGAGGTCAGCTTGATGAAAATTCGACCTGTAATGGGAGGTTAGCTCAATTAGCAGTCTGTGTTTCATCCCTTAGCTGAATCAAGGTTTTCATCTCGGCGCGAAAAATCGAGGAAATCAGTCAGAGGATGCAAAAAGCGCAAAAATCAACAGAAAAATCGATGGAAGAAGTATTCCGTTAAATGACAGATAAAGAGAAGACTAATAAAGAATTCAGATGCATTGAAAAAGCATGCAAAAGCTAGAAAGACTATGCGCAAGAAAATGGGACGAGAGAACCTGCATCAAACATTTAGGGACGTTTCGGGACTTCATACCGATTGCCCAGCTGGTTCAAGTTTACTTGGTACATGAAAGTAGGAAAAGCGCTATTTTGTGCTGAAGAGGGACATAGTTTTTGGCAGGATGCATATAGCATTTTGGGCAGGAGATATCAGTCGTATGCGGAGCTCATTTTCGAAAATTTTTATGGACCGGGAACGAGTCGAACCATTCCCCTTCACGTACGGGTGCGACGTTATACTCGTTACACTGCGGCCCTTGTACTCCAGATTCAGTCTGGTAGCACATCTACTGTGTGTCTGCTTTTTGATGCAGAGCACATCTTTTCCTTGGCTGCCTCCTAGGCAGTACACATCTTTTCCTTTGTGGCGGCTTCTTGACCAGCCTTTCGTAGATTTTCCGCGACAGCATTATTTTGCAGTTGAGCCTTGTTGTTTGGGAAGCAGGGCACATATTATTATGCATATAATAAATAGCAACGCGCACCAGACTAGCCGGTGCGATCATGAGTTTTGTACAATTCAGCCCATCGAACGATTACCTATTAATGATTCCTTCACTGCTTTGTGCTTTAGTCTATGCAAAAATAGTTCAAACATTGGAAAACAGTTAAAAATTTCAACAGACTAGCCGGTGCGATAATGCGTTTTGTGCAATTCGGCCCATCGAACGATTGCCTATTAATGATTTTCATGCTTTGTACTTTAGTCTATGCAAAAATAGTTCAAACATTGGAAAACAGTTAAAAATTTCACGCACCAGCGTATGAAAGCTAAATAGCAAAAATAGTTCAAACATTGGAAAATAGTTAAAAATTTCACGCACCAGCGCATGAAAGCTGAATTCGAGACCATGAAGCGTGAGTATCTTTCCGTGACTACCGAGTTAATAGTTTACCCGCCAAAATCTTCACGAGACCGTAGGTGATACCCGAGAGCGCGGGAACGCTGAATTTGCATGGGCAATGTTGAACGTGGGCAGGGGGTCATTATCCCAAAATTTCAGCTTCCTAGACCCCGTGGTTCCCGAAATAATAATTTACCCGTAAAAACTTTCACGGGGCCGTACGCGTTACTCGCGGGTAGGGGGAAGGGTGAATTTAAATTTGCCGCATCAACCGCTGGCGGGAAACGTTACACTAAAATTTCAACCGCCTAGCTTTTGTGGTTCCCGATTTGAAAGTGCGGGGCAAAATGTGGGACACACACAGACAGCCCCGTGACA